GGAGCTGAAGCTTCACCCATTCGCTGTCAGGGTTGCCATGGCCGTGGAGCTTGATGAGGTTCTCAGTCGCAAGTTCCTTCTTGCCACGGGTGTACAGCCATCGAGGGGACTCTGGCAGTAGCATGGAGAAAAAGAAGATAACACAAGGGAACATGAGCTGGAGACAGACAGAGATCATCCAAGAGGTGTTAGTTCCCTCATAGTCCAAGCCTCCGAGGGCAGCGCTACTGGCAACGAGAGCACCAACAGGCCACATAACGTTGTACAATCCAGTAATGATACCTCGGTGAGCAGGGTGAGAGACCTCGACAACATAGGTAGGGCCAGCTGCGGCGGCGATGGAGACACCGAAACCGAGGAAGAAGCGACCGGCCATGAACTGATCAACACTAGCGGTCTTGATACAGGCAATCTGGATAATGATGCCGATGATGATGATGAACGAGCCAATTGTCATGCCAACCCGACGACCCCAAGTGTCGATAGCAGGACCAACGGCGGGGATCGCGACGACGGAACCGATCTGGTACATGGAAGTGACGATACCTAGGGGAGAAAGACATGTCAGTTTCACGATAAGCTGTTGGCGCGGACTGGAGAAGACATACCAGCCCCGATACCCTTGTTATCAACATCGAAGAACTTCTTGAAGTCATCGTTGGCGAGAAGGGTTCCGAAAAGCGAACCATCGTAACCGTTGGCGGTAGAACAACAGAAGGCGACCATACTGGCGAAGATGAGGATAGGAGCTGCCATCTTAGGAGGGGGCTCCTTGATCATGGCCTGTTGGAAAGCCTCATCACCAATGGCCGTCTTGACGATGGCGACCTCGTGCTTCGGCTAGCAAAGGAAAGTCAGTACTCGCTCAATTGCACTGCTGAGTGGAGAAAGACGCACGTTCTTCTCATCGTGCCTATCGCTGTGGATGGATTCGGATCCCATGTTGATGTTTCAGCGCCGACGCTGTGAATTATCTTTCTGGGTGTCTTGTTGATTGATGATTGAGATGGGTCTGAGCAGGAAACAAGACTCTGGGATCCAAGATGGATCCGGGGAATATATATTAAATTTGGAGATGCTGGGGATGGTGGTGTTCGTCTGCATCGCAAATTGAGTCCGTCCGTGTGCCTGCCAACTGCTACACAATGGAACACGGTCTGCAGATCCGATACAACCCACAAAGATCTGAAAGGGCTGGCAAGTCTGTCTGTCCAGGGCCACGGATCGACGGTCAACCTTCCGAGAGCTGAATCGAGTGCTACACTCTTACGGCCTAGACTGATCTGACCAGAACGGCCAAGTCCTAACCCTGAACGCGAAATTCACGTGGGGATGGGGAAGCGAGAATTCAGTATTGACGCACCAAGAGTCTGATTCGTTATCCGATAATGCAGTCATGTGCGCTGGGTGTCGATTCAGGTGTGCCAGCGGCGCTTAACACTCGCTCGTTCGATGAGCAGTGATCGTGCTTCTGTCGGGTCCGTGGTCCGCCTTGCATCTAACAAGCTCTGTCTTCCCTGGAATCTAGTCGGCTCATTTTGCGGGCAGCCGAGATGGCTCTTACGATTCCCCGTGGAGAGGGATGCGGGTTAGACGTGGAGACCATAATTACTGTTCCCCCGTGCTGCTACTGCTTAAGGTAAGGAGCAACTCTTTGTGTTGGCCGGCCCGGGATCCCGTTGGGTGATTGGTCGAGATCCTTGCTACTGAAAGCGGACAAAAGTTCCAGACCGCGAGACTGCTATGAATAGGATGAGATTAGGGTAATGGACGATCACGCTTATTACTGTTAGAGTTGCTTTTCGAGATTTACGAATATTCTGAAGTGTCCATGCCCCAGATGATAATCCTTTCTCCACATCTTTATTGACTGTGATCTTCGTGACCATCGATCTCACGATAAAGTTAGTTGAAGCTGTGCTTATTTTCACGAGCATTCATGGTCAAGACAAGCTTACTCCCCCGCATTCCAAGCGACCAATTCTCCACGAATAATAGTCTCCTTTACGGCCCGACTCCTCCGCCCCCATGGCCTTTTGATCCCAAATAAGAAAAGACACATGCGGAAAAAGCGGGATTGCAACCCCCCCTCGATGATCTGGGGTAAGCTTTTCTCCTCTCCAGTCACAGGTGCCGATTCGGTCCGCATGTTTACCAATGAACGAATAAATCGACGGAAGTCGAAGACCAGCTTACCGGGCTCAATAGGGCTAGCCTCCGAAGTCGTTTGACAGATCAAGGCGGCAGCGCCTTTGACGAGCAGCGGTAACGGTTTTCCACCGCGGGTCGTTAATCGGCTTGATGGGATGACATTCCGAATTTTCACCTGGGAATGCTTCTTTTCATACGGCGTGACTGACAGCGGCCGGTCCGCACCGAAAAGAGGTCATTTTCGTGGGTTAGGGTTCATGACTGACCCAGAACAACGGCTGCCCACGCCGCCCAGAGGCTGGGCCGATATCCCGTCAAGGATGCCTCTCTTGGCCTGCTTGGCCGATTCTAGATTATGAATAGACTATTCCCAAGCATCAGATTGTGTCTTTGAGGGCTACTGGAGATCTCTATTGGGCAATAATGCTATCATTCCGCGCCTTATCTTATCATTCCATGATGTGACCGGGCTCCTGGGAGTTAAAGTTCTGCTCCGACTGTGCCTCAGGTTGATCTCGAACTTGTCAGGAATAGCGAGATTTGGACAATCTCGGTGCTTACCGAAGCATTCGAGACTTGACCTAGAATCACGTTAATCTCGTGTCAATCTCCAGTTTCAAGACCACGAGGTCTCAGCGACTTGAACTTCAAACAGAAGGCCTTTAATTCTTGGTTGCAAGTCTCGTGATACTTCTGATGATCAAGTGCTTTGGTGACAGGAGCACCAAGCTCACTTAACCGTAGCCCAGCAATGTAAAAGCATCAGCTACTCGGCAGTAGGCTAGCTACTGCCCGCAGTCAAGTGAAGGCTTGCCGACATAGCCGCGTAGATCTCCAAGTGGCCTTTCTCAAATGAGTATAAATACAACGATCTATTCTCGTAATGGTGTGGAAGAGCTTGCAGGACTTGGGAACATGCACGCATGCGCTGGGCCTCTCTGGGGTAAGATCTTGGCGCCCAGTGTCTGGGTAGGCCGACTTGCCGCTACTTTGCATTCCCAATGAACAGGAGTCGATGACCTGAGAGGCTTTCCCAGCACGATGCCCTCCTCTTTGGGTGGATGCACGGGGCGGTGATCCTAGGGCTCGAACTTTGATGTCGGGTGGCTTGACGGTAAGACCATCGGTTCGATCAACGGCCCAGACTGAAACCGTTTTGCTGGCTTTGTTTTTATGGTAACATGGGTCCCCTCGACGCAAAGTTTGTCACACGAGCTGTTCAATAGACTCGTTCATCATGCTACTCTGTGTAATGCCAAGCCGTCTGTCAGAGTGTCTTGGTATTCGGAAGCCAACCATCAGCTGTCCAGTCTAGTATAGGTGATAAAAGACTTTCTTCCTCATCGTTACTGTTTTTACGAGCTCTCTGAAGCACGATTGGAGCAGCTATAGTGAGTATGTTGTGCAATAGAGCAACTGTGTGTAGAAGAATGAGAAGTCCAATAATATATGACAATATTTCTATCGTTACTTAGACGCCAATTAAAATTTAATCGAGAGTCAGAACCTTACGTATCGGAGACTCGCTTCGTTTGTCACCGTGATAGCTGCACAACGTTCAACTGATACTCAAGATTTTAACGGTCAGGAAATCGAAGTCTCAAGCACAATTATGGAAGTGCTGTAATACTAACAAATGAAATATCACTGGGCGCAGTAACAAGCATTGTCTGTTAACACACAAGCTCATCAATCATGATTACGAGCATTCTTTTACAGGAGATACTTGAAACTAATATGAGTAAAGTTACTGCACTTCTCTCTTCGTATTTGCTAAGACGTTTGAAGGTTTGTTAGGAAATAACATTAAAAATTAAGTGCTGTTCAGGGTAGGTTGCAGCGAGCGCTCGCAAAGTACGGCACCGTGATAAGATAAGATACGATAACAATACCAGGTCTCAGAAGCGGAACACAGAGATCGATCGACGTCCTAGTAGCAGCCAATGTTCCAAGTGATGCCCAGGAATCCACTCTCCACATCTCGATCTCTTGGCTGCATGCCATGATGAAAGTGTTTTGGCCATTCATTGTTTGTGTGCAAGGTTCTCGTCAGTTGGATAAGGTGACACGATAAGATAAGATAAGATCTGGCACGAAAAAGTCGCGTCGCACTTCACGCATTGCAAAAATCGCTTCCTATTGGTGAAGGCAAACGCGTCCTGAGAGTAAAACCGTGCATGTACCAGAAATGGCTTGAGCCGATACGGTCAGGGTTGGACACAGCATCGGGAGAAGCAGCAGGCGACTCAATAGAGGCCTCTACTGTCATTCATCCAACAGTCATAAAGCGCGAAATGTGATACGCAGTCATTTGAGGGAATGGTTCCAGTTACCAGCGCCTTACGCCTCCGTAGGGCTGTGTTGCTGTGCATCCTCGATTGTTGATCAAGTGCCGAGTGACAAACCTTAGATTTTGCAAGACCGTAGCAAAATATTCTTATTTGATCCTAGACTCTATGGAATGTGTTCGCGAATGAGAATGAGAATTCCCATGTATTGCCTGTCGATTGCTGCGAATCGTCGTCTGACTTACCCGATTCAGTGACCATTTCGACGCTATCAGGTGAGCATCACGGGAATCGGCAAACATGATCATTGGTCCAACGCCAACCTTCTGAATGCTCAGCCATACTGTGGAGAGCGTCGGAGTCGATTGGAAGTATGTCGATAGACTTACTGATTTTGGCACTTGAATAGATATTGATGAAACTGAGTCTTCATTTGCATATATATATGTGTCTGCATATTTTCTTGGTGATGGTGGAATATTTCATTTTACTGCTCATTCTCAGACTACCTACATACACAAACGCATTATGGGCATTCTAAGAGACACGATCGGCTCAGCCATGGAAGCTGAAGCAGAGAGAAGTCATAAAAGGAAGTCCCCTTATAGTTCAAGACAAATGCCACCAGCACGACGAAATCTGTCGCCTTATGATGCATCTCCATCCTCGTCTCAAGCAGGGCAGCCACGTACAAGGCAAGATTATAACCAGAAGACGAAGGATCAATTGTTTGAGGCAGAGACATTCCCTGCTCGAGATGGTTTCAACAGCCAACAACAGCCGGGATGTCCTTATGGCGACGAACCACCCTCATATTGCCTGCACGCCTACGATGCACCATCGAGCAGTCGACCTAGAAGCAGCCAGATGCCCACACGTCTCAATGTCTATCAGCAGCCTTCATATAGCTGCTCGTCCCCTGAAACCATAGCTTCAAACACACGGTTCCCCTTTGACCAATCTTCATTCAAAAACACCGACTTTCGACCGCTCATCCTTCCCCAGATTGCTTTTGGAGAAGGAGAGCCCTTCTTACGAGGTTACAGTTCTGAGATGGACAGATATGGAATCTCATGCGATCAATTCCTTCGAGTGGTGGATGTGATTAACGTAGCCCGTACGCCTAACCCTGAGGTAAAATTATTCCAAATGGGTGCTGGCATTGCTGGGTGGTTCGTGTAAGTTGACTTTACCTGAATTCTGCGGCTTGGAAGACTGAAACCCTTCACCGGTAGACCTGGCGTTGCTAGTATTGGGCTTCTTGCAGGTCAAGCCGGCGTTGGCGTTGCTACAGCGTTCGGCCATGCATCAATAGTTTCCGAGGCATTATCGAAGGCCAACATGGAGCTATTTTCGCCCAATGGACTCAAAATATGGTAAGCACTTCTCAAAGTCAAGGAACCCTTACCAACGAAGCTCCAGTATCATCACGACCGAAGACCTTAATACGGAATTGGGCATCTCCTCCTATGGAATACGAGACATGCCCTATAACACGTCACCAGTTGATAGACTAAGTACTTATGGACCTCGAATCGCCTTTGTGAACGAGATCCTACCAGACAGATCAGACATGGAACGACAAGATCCTCTGGCCAAAGCTGGTCGAGCACTCAACAAAAGGGCAAACAAGAGAAAGGCCCAAGATGCGCAGGAGAGGCTAGACAAAGGCGAAAAGAAGGACAAGGGAAAACGGCGACTCTTTAAGTCATATGATGACATTGAGTGGGTGAGTAACTATTCAGGCTGCAATATGTCTTGGAGATTACTGACCATTTCTTTTAGCTTGTGGTAAAGCTGGCACCTCCAGTGAGCGGCGGACAATTGTATTGAGTGGGAGAAACGAAGGGCATTCGGGAAAGAATGGCTGGAGATTTTATTTGGAAGCGAGATGAGCGTTAGATTAGAATAGAATTAGCATAGAAAGAATCCAAGAAAAAGTCCAGTCGTGTGTAGCAAGTCCTTTGTAGCAAGGCTTTTCTCAAATGGACTCTACATAATCACCACTAGAGTTTGTCAAGAACTTAACACAGTCTTACGAGAGCATCATTGGTATCGCTAGGCTACATGTTATACCATACTGTCTGTTCAGAACCTCTTGATGCTGATGACCTTATTCTCATCCCTCAGATCTCGTAAGACACGCCCCAAACTGGCACTAGCTGCTCATCCAGGGATTATGGCCTTTTAATCCAGTTGGTATGCAACAGCTTAGTTTACCATTGCAAGGCATAAACTGACACCACTGGCCAAGAGGGTGTTGAATTGCGGCAGGCTGCCGCTAGCATGTTGCTGTATACCCGAGGATCCGATCCGGGCGACATCAAGTGTCTTGGGAACTGAGCGAGAGGATATCTTACAGTATCAAACTAGGGACTATAGTCTCTATCTGTCGCAGGAAGTAGCCTAAATGCCAAGAAGAGATATTAAACGTATGCTGCATTTGTGTCACATAGATACGCTTGAAAACGATTTGGCATTATGATTCTGTTTGTTGTTGGTGTTATGTTTCACCTCGGAAGTCCTCTTGCCAGGCAGTACCCTCGTGAAATACATCTTGCCACTCGTTTGATTCGTCCCGGCGTATATAGCATATGGCTGTGTTGAGGCGGTGATGTCGACCGGTTATCTCAGCCGTCAAATATGTTGAATCGGCGTAACGAATGCGAATTTGAGCTAGGTAATCCGAATAATGCGTCGAAACAGGTGCCGGATATAGTAGGCCTTCCGATATGGCGAGACTTTCGACTAGTAAGCTGACGGTCCGCAGGAGACGATCGCCGCATGCCGCTGTGCCGTACTATGACAGGAAGAGAAAGCTCTTGAAGTACCTCGGTGATTTAAAGGATAAAGAATGTGTATAAAATACTCGAAGAACTACATGATCGAATTTCCTCCTCTCTGCATCAAAACCTGCTCTTCATCAAATAACTATACCACTTTACAATACAGCAAACTTTCAACATGAAGCTGAATAGGGCTTAAAATTCCCATGGGTACCCAGGCTTTTTAGCCAATTAGGTCTAATAGTTAGGATTTAAGGTTTATATTAGCTAATCAGAAGCCTCTATTTAAGCAGTATGATTGGCCCACTTTCTGGGTACCCGTGGGTGCCCATGGGTACCCATGGGAATTTTAAGCCCTAAAGCTGAACAATGCTGCCTTCCTTGTCTTCCTGGCAACCCTCCGATCGGTACGTCTAGTATTTATTGACGATGGAACATATACTACTGATACCGTTCAACAGTCTTTTGCATATGCACTTCCATCAGAAGTAAACTTACGCCGCCGAGACGATTCGAAGAATGTCACCCAGCTGCAGATCATCCCAGACGTTGACTTCAACTTCAACGTCATGGCGACCTTGGCCACAGCTCCTTACCAGGGAGCAGACATTGGAGAGATCCTAGTCGCTGCAAGTCAGATCAAGACGGGAGATTTCGAAAGCCACTACAAAGCATACTACGACCTTGCGACTCGTGTTCACGATCAAGCAAAGGCAATCGACTGCAAGAAGCATCCTGTTTCTGCGCGAAATGCGTCTTCAGGGCCTCGACCTATTATCGTTCCGCTGATGCATTCTTGCACGGAAACTGGAGCGATCCTAGGATCATGTCGCTTTGGAAGCAGCAGGCCGACGCCTTCGACAAACCTGGCCGTCGTCCTACTGTCATCCTGGGTACGGGATATGATGGCTCCATGGAAGACCTGTATCATACCATGGGTGAGGCTTTGCTGCAACGAGGCATGAATGCTATCGTGTATGAGGGACCAGGCCAGCCAACTGTCCGTCGGTACCAAGACCTTGGCTTCATCCCTGAATGGGAAAGAGCCGTAACACCCATTGTTGATTATGCGCTTTCTCGAGACGATGTGGACGGCAGCAAGCTTGCGCTAATGGGGTTCTCGTTTGGGGGAGTCCTTGCGCCTCGTGCCGCAGCCTTTGAGCATCGTCTAGCAGCAGTGATTGCCCTCGATGGGGTCTTCGATTTCGGTCAAGCAATGTTCAAACAATTTGGACCAGAAATCACCGAGCTATTCAAAGCTGGCAAGAAGAAGGAGATTGATGAAGCGGTCGCTCTGGCGCAGAACAACGCGAGCATGCCTTCGACTCTGCGATGGGGTATCGATCAGGGAGAGTGGTCATTCAAGACTCACTCGGCGTACACGTTGCTGGAAAAGTCCCAAGGGTCCACGTTGAAGGGTATCGTGGATAAGATCAAGGCGCCTGTTTTTGTAGGAGATGGTCAGAATGATATGTTCTTTCCTGGACAGGCGAAGGAGTTGACGAAGCAGCTTGGAAGTCGGGCAACGTATCAGCTCTTTGAGACGGCTTCGGGGGCTGGACTTCATTGTCAGGTTGGCGGTTACGTGCTGATGAATCAGGTTTCGCTTGATTGGCTGGAGGATGTTTTTGCGAATCAGACCAGGCACAACTGAGTGTCTGATCAGCAATAGTGGCTATTGCATCTCAGCATGTGCATCGCCTCTTTGAGGGACCCTCTGTGACCCATTAGACTAGCTCAATTGACTCCGGTTTTGCTTTCTACTCATTGATAATTGAATGAAGTTGCTTCAACAGCGAGATGGTCGATGTTGTTTGGTTGAATGTCAGAGAATTGCCGGCACTCGGCAGAGCCTTGGGGTGAGATGACGCAAGGATCAAATGGCTTAGCGAAGGCCTCCAGCGTGTTTGGCCTCTGATAGGTGCCGAAATACCCGGCTTATCACTGAACGGCCCAAAGTTATGCCAAAGAGTGAGCTAATCCTAATCTGGTGGGCATTTCGACGCTAGCAAGCAGATCCAAGAACCACCAAATACTTCAATATTTCGTCGAAACATTCGCCGTTTTCAACACATCCATCCATCACTGAGCCCATCATACAGCCCAAGGACCTACCAGCAAGCACAAGAATCACCGAGTAGACTAACCCAAAGAGCACTCAACAGCCAATAAGAAACCGGCCATCTGATATCGGAACCATGGTCTTCTCCGGTAAACCTTCGCGAGCATGTGAACCCTGCCGAGAGAAGCGCAGAAAGGTATGGTCCGTATGCACGTTTTCGTGCTAAACATCTGACCTTGCTACAGTGTGATCTCAAAAAGCCCTCCTGTTCAACATGCATGAGGATGAAAATCTCCTGCTTCGGATATCGAGACGTTCACTCAGTCAAGATCAAAGACCAAACCTCAGCCGTCATACGGAAAGTACAACGTCAGAGATGTGTCAGCACAAAGACAAGCCCCGAATCCTACGGCTCATCCAGTGATTGTAACTCTCCAGACGAGTCAATTCAGCCCAATTACATGGAGGTAGACTGTCTCCGAATCTCAAGTCCTCCTGAAGAACTTGCACTTGGATACTTTCTTTCCATCTTCACGCGATCCGGCCCCTTCGCATACCTGCATCAACACACAACTGCTCTCGCCATAGACGATGACATAATACAGGCCATTCATGCCCCAGCTCTTGCATCCCTAGCTCTCGAACATCGACGCGGTGACCTCTTACGTGCAGCCCGTTACCACTACTCCAAAGCCTTGACTCGGACGAACCAAGATCTAAGCGATCCACGAGTAGCCATCCTCGACAAGACTCTTCTCCGTGTATTGCTACTCTCAACCTTTGAGGGATTGGTGTTCGAAGGCCGAGGCTCGACAAGGAACTGGGAATTGCACGTTCAAGGCTCATTAAGACTATTGGTGATGCGAGGAAAGCAACAGTTTCAGACCGAACTCGGGCGCAGACTGTTCCACCATACCGCCATCAACGTGCTGACAAATTGCATAATGCAATCAAGCCCTATAGCCGACGACTTCTTGCAACTCTACGATTATGCCCTTTCTGGCGAGTCGGGGCTCGATGAATCCAGGGCTCGCATGATCGAATTCGTCTGTCAGTTCGCCAGAATGTCTGATGCTAGAAAGGGCATGTTGGCGACGGACTTTGTGAGGGAGTGTATGGATCTTGACCAAAAGGCTGCCCAGTTCATTGATCTATTCTTCAAAGAACTGTCGTATGAGGTTATCGACGTCAACTCCGACGAATATCGACAGAATGCTACTGGCACGGAGATCTGCGCTTACAAAGATACCATACACAGATACCAGTCTCAGCAGTCAGCTCGTGTGTACAACACCGCTAGGCTCATGCGATTGACAGTCAAAGAGTGGATATACAGCGTCTTCGACGGAAATCCCCATCAAGTCATCCTCAACGAACCCGACGACGATGACCCCCTGAAGGCGACCTGGAGCCAAATTCCCATCAAGGCCGCACTGCAAGCCAGCGATGTCATTGATGACATGCTAGCCAGTGTTCCATACTCCTTAGAGCTGCTCAATACGCCGTTCCGAACAGCTTCAAGATATGTTGTCTGGCCACTGGCAAACGCCGCAGGGTCTGAGGTTTGCCCTCCCCATGCGAGGCTGTACATCATCGATCGGCTGAAGGAGCTGGCTGTCAAGGCAAACCTTGACCAGGCTATGCAGGCTGCGAATATGTTGGAGGAGAGAGTGCCGTTAGAGGATTGGCAAGTTAGCCTTGATGGTAGATGGTACGTCGGTATGCTAATGACTATTTGATAGGATGCATCTTCTTCATCTCTCGTGATTAGTGAACAGTGAGTGATGTCTCATGAAGGAACGAAAAGGATAAATGCATGGTTGTTCGTTGTGGAATCAACCCATGTGGGCATTCGTGTATATAACGGAGTCATGCCGAACGGGTTCGCGCACAAGGTAGTCAACTGTACGCCCTTATCAAAGACGTTACTGCAAGGAATAATTGCGCAATTCGCATCCGCAAGAGAAATCAATCTAATTTTAAGCTACCGAGTAATAGCCCTATGGGCTTGGCTCAATGAATGATCGACTAATGCCTTTCGCCGCGAGTTGTATCCACTACGGAGCCGCATGTCGGACCCGAGTCAGTGGTTCCGCAAAGACGATGATACAACATTGAAATCCAGTGAATGACGGTTTTGCCACTCTTCTCATTGTAAGAATTACAGGTGATTGACTTCCTATAGCTATCACACCCACTGGCGATCATCGTGGAACATCTTCTCGGAGGTGTTAGAATCGTTGAGGCATTAAACATCTTGCAGGACCCAGCCATGCGGTTCGATGGAATCTCTAAGATCTATCCGAAAAAGCCTACTAGCAGGGTAATAACGCCCTTGAATCGACATATTGTGGCAACATTCATTATGCGATTGCTAGTCTGGATGACGAAAAGCAGGCAGTGGAGTGACCGATCATAGAGGATCGAACGCCTTTCATGCAAGACAGTTTATGGGAAGTTGAAACCCAGTTAAACTGCACATGGCCCAAGGTCTAGAATGGGACCAAGGCCCGCAATTGTCAAGATTCCTTGCAAACCTAAGATATGACCCTGTAGGTTACTGGGCGTCTTGCCGGCACCCGAGTATCGACAGATCCTGCATGCATATTTAAGAGCATCGAAGGACGCCAAGATGACACTTTACACTTGCTCTCACATTCCTTTTCATCTTCTATCGCCACTCGTCTTTAGATCAACGATAACATGAGTGATGAGAAGCAAGTCGACCCTAAGGTCGCTAACGGAAGCTCTAGCAGCTCACTCAATGAGGGTGCCGTTATCTCTGGCCGAGCCGCAGATGAGACTCTTGATCTTATTGAGAAGCATGGACATGAGGTTGGGGAACTTACTCCCGAGAAGAAGAAGAAACTCAAGCGCAAGATTTACATCCACGTCCTTTTGCTTGTCACGTTCATCGACTTTATGCTCTATGTAAGTAAGCCAGATCTTCAAATGTGAATGGCACTAACAACCAGGGGCAGGTTGATAAGAGTACCCTGGGTCAAGCTACACTCCTTGGGCTTTTCAAGGATACAGGTCTCAATAATTCCGAGTACAACAACTTGAACTCCCTCTTCTACACCGGTTAGTCAATTCATTGCCCAAGGCCAACACAGCTAACTCTTCCAGGTTACATTATCGGACAGATTCCCGGACAGCTTCTCATCCAAAAGCTACCCCTGCGCACGTTCATCTCAGGAATTATCTTTACATGGGCTGTCATTGTCCTCCTCCACTGTGTCGCCCAGAGCTATGGAGCCCTGATCCCTCTTCGCTTCTTCCTCGGCTTCGTCGAATCCGCGGTCATTCCAGCTCTTGAGATCACGATGGCCATGTTCTTTACGCCTGAGGAGCTCCACCAGGTTCAGCCTTTGTTTTACACTTCTTGCATCGGCTCGCCCATGTTCACTGGCCTTGTCTCATATGGTTTGCTGTATAGCAAGGCAAGCACTAGCCCGTGGAAGTTCTTCATGATCATCACTGGCGGTATATCGCTTGTCCTCTCGGTCATCACCTGGTTCTGGTATCCTAACAACCCCGCGACAGCCTGGTTCTTGACCACTGAACAGAAGGTCCATACCATTCGTCGCATTCATGAAACCACCCGCAGCTCGATCGAGCAGAAGACGTTTAAGAAGCATCAATTCATTGAATGCTTGAAGGATCCCATCTCTTGGCTCTTCGCATTCTCAGGCTTCACCCTCATGCTGGCGAATAACCTTCCATACCAGCAGAGCTTGCTCTTCTTGGACCTTGGAGTTTCTCCATTAGGTTCTACCCTTGTTTGGGTTGCTTCTGGAGGCTTTGCAATTCTTGCATGCATCACAGCCTCGCTTCTTATACGCTTCTTCCCTGGGCATAGCGCTTGGTGGGCTGCACTTTGGTGCGTACCTTGTATCGCGAGTAGTATCGGCATGGTCACCATTCCATGGGGTAACACTATTCCCATGCTTGCTTGCCTTCTTCTCCCCCCGAATTGCTTCGCGCAAACATGGATCATTTCTGTTGGCTGGGTGTCCTCTAGTTGCGCCGGCCATACAAAGCGTCTCACCCGCAACGCCATGTTCATGGTGCTTTATGGAATATCGAACATCATCTCTCCACAGCTATGGAAGACTGGAGGGCCGCGTTACTATCCTGCTTGGATTGTCCAGATCGTGGCCAGTTTCACCTTGACGCCCATTCTGTTGATCACTATTCGGTTCATCCTCTCCAAGAGAAACAAAGAGCGACGACAGTGGATCGCTGAACAGGAAGCACTTGGTAACCATGGAGAAGGATATGTCGAACAGATCGTGGATGGTGAAACTGTCAAGGTCAAGGTGGATGTTTCGATGATGGACTTGACTGATCTGGAGAACAAGTACTTCCTTTATCCATTGTAGACATCACTAGATAATATCTCTGAAGAATCAGGCAAAAATGCTTATTTTCTGCTACTTACTCAGTGGCAGTGTCTACCTCCAAGCAAATGATGGTAAACCTTGATATGTAGTCTAATGCTATGTCTACTGAGACTTATGATCTCATTGCTTGAATACTTAAATGTTAGACAGGCCACGAGGCTCTTTTAGTTCATGCAATCGATCTCAAGTGGTTTCCTGAAAGGGTAGGTGGCAATCAAGCACAGATCTGTAGCCTCCGCCTTAGAGCGACATCTCAACAAGGCCCCACCACGCCCAACTTGAACATCCGCCCTGGCTAGACAAGACCTCTCACTATCTCATTCAATTGAGCAGAGGGTTCTGTACATTATTTGACGGAGAATTTGATTTAATTCTCGTTCATATATGGTTAAAAGTCCATCTATCGATCGGCGAACGATGAGATGTCGCGCCAAGGCGGGTGCTGAAGCGATGCGGCGACATCATGGCGCTCGAACCTCAACGCCCAAGATCCACATGTTCCGTGGGGTTCGTTCTGGAACTGGGGTAGAAGTAATAGTAGAGACATGTCACTAAGCTATTATATAATAGATATCGAATTTTGTGATTCCATGACTCCACATGTTCGCCTTTCATCGACAAGATGAGCAATCACTCGTATGTTGGACCGAGTATTCGGACATGACTTACTATGTTAGATGGCCCGAAATCGGCTGTCTGAAGGAGTGAAAAAGACGCCGCCTCGCCATCAGATTTTAGGAATCTGCTCATGTCGTTCACACCATGACGAACTACATGATCATGGATATTCAAGCCAAGACGGACCCTCAACCCGAGGTGAACGACTCGACCCCCTCCACCAAGTCCATCGAGCATGACACAAACGACACTGAGCTTGAACGTGCCCTCCATGGCCGACATCTCCAATTCATAGCCATCGGCGCCGCAGTCGGTACAGGTCTCTTCATCGGCACAGGCAACGCCCTCGCGACAGCTGGCCCCGTCTCCCTCCTCATAGCCTTCATCTTCGTCGGAAGTCTTCTCTTCGCAGTAATGACAGCCCTAGGCGAAATGGCAGCATACATCCCCGTCGCAGGCGCCTTTACAACATACGCCTCGCGCTTTCTCGACCCAACATTCGGCTTCGCCATGGGTTGGATTTATTGGTTCAGCTGGACCATCACTTTTGCGCTCGAGTTGACAGCCGCGGGACTGATTGTTCAGTACTGGGAGAAGGGACTGAATATCGGTATCTGGATCGCTGTGTTTTGGGTCCTTTTCACTGCTGCCAATTTCATGCCTGTTCGCTGGTTCGGAGAGTTCGAAATGTGGTTTTCGAGCATCAAGGTCATCACAATCATTGGCTTCATTATCTTTTCGATTTGTGTCAATGCCGGCGTCGGAGATCAAGGATATCTCGGGTTCAAGTACTGGAAAGATCCGGGCGCGTTCAGCGAGCATCTTGTGGAAGGAGACGTAGGACGTTTCGTCGGCTTTTGGTCGGTCTTGATCACCGCTGGTTTCAGTTATCAGGGTTCAGAATTGGTAGCCATCGGTGCGGGCGAGACAAAGGATCCGCGCAAGACGATTCCTTCTGCGATGCGTTGGACCTTTTGGGGCGTCTTCTCAATCTTCATCGCGACTGTGTTCTTCCTCGGTCTCAATATTCCTTCCACGAACAAAGACCTTCTCAGCGAGTCGCAAGACGCTTCGGCATCTCCTCTAGTTATTGTCGCTCAATTGGCTGGTGTTCCTATACTGCCGTCCATCCTCAACGCGGTTCTCTTGACTGCTGTATTGACTGCAGCGAACTCGGATGTGTATTCCAGCAGCCGCATTCTCATTTCTCTGGCAGATTCGGGCCACGCACCGGCATTTCTGAAGAAGACAAACCGATTCGGAACACCTTATAATGCCGTCGGGGTTTGCGCCGCTGTCGGCTTTTTGTCTTTCCTCAATCTTTCCAACGACGGAACTGTTGTGTTCAACTGGTTCTTGAGTATTACTTCTGTTGCGGGATTTATCGCATGGGCTATCATTTCACTCTGTCACATTCGGTTCATGAAGGCCTTGGCTCTTCAAGGGATTCCCCGATCCGAATTACCCTACGTTGCGCCCTTGCAGCCATATCTGTCTTGGTACGGTCTGTTCTTCAGCGTTTTGATTATCATTACGAGTGGATTTCAGGTGTTTATTGAGTGGGATACCAGCTCCTTTTTCACAGCTTACATTAGCCTGATCTTGTTTATTGTCATGTTTGTTGGTCACAAGTTGATCTTTCGGACTAAATTGGTTCCGTTGAACGAGATGGATATTATCACCGGGAGCGATATCTAGAAGTACCTTAGATAAGAGATCTGAAATAATACAAATAATTTAATCTGCCGTATGTCGAGCTATGGATCTTCATTCCTTCTGACTTGATCATCTCTCTCAGTGAGTGACCTTCCAGGTTAAATAAAGATCTCGTATCCGGTTATTGCCTAGCCCTTCAATGGCCAGCGACGAATCGATTGGCCGACAAGAGCGGAGAATTACGGCAGCACCAATGAGATCGATCCTGTTTTCAGCCGAAGATCCCGGCCTATGATTACCTCAGCGCTACTGGTATCGCTATCGCTATCGCGCGTGAACTTAACTCGGGTTAGTGAGATCTGTTTCCAAACAATTTCGAGATCCCCCAGGGACACGAGGCCTTTCGACATGTTTCGGGACGCGTCAATACATTCGCTGATACCAACGACGCTGCTTCTTCTCTGCCTTGATGCTGGTTACGTCTTGGCAGCTTCGGAAGCCTCGGGCCTTGATCGTTGTCCAGATTATGTCGCTAATCATGGTGAGTAATATCTCATCGATCCATTGTCATCATGGCCTTGAGTACTGAGCGAATATTGCAGCGCCATTAGTATGGCTTCATCCAGAGGATCGCTTCATGCCTAGCGATCTATCAGCTCACCTCATCAACACAATACCGAAACTCAATGAGCAACCGATTAGTGGGCCTTCATCCGTTGACCTCTCGAATCTTGGGGAGCTCAACAACTATGGGGGCGAAGACGTTGCGCTCACAGCCAAGGAAGATCCTCTCACTTATCCTCAATGGATTCTGGGTGAAGCCCCGGATGATTCTGGCCGGATAGCCAACTCGGTACCCTGCGCCGTGATCTTGGTTGAGAAGAGCGACGTTGACATCGATGCATTCTACTTTTATTTCTACTCATTCAACGAGGGACCGAATATCACTCAAGTTATGGAACCCATCAATCATTTAGTCGGAGATGAGAACTTATCATCGGGCATGCACTTTGGCAACCATGTTGGAGACTGGTAAGTCTGCTCCCTCTCACGGTCGACGGTTCCTCTAACCTTTGATGTCAGGGAGCACAATATGGTCAGATTTCACAACGGGACTCCTGTTGGTATTTACTACAGCCAGCATATCGACGGTGTTGGTTTCAAATGGGACGACTCGACGATCAACATTACTGATGGAAGGGTAGGAGGAGTGCTCATCCCCTCAGAATTCATTGGCTAACAAGTATCTCAGCCTATCGTCTACAGTGCCCTCGGTTCGCACGCCAACTATCCACAAAGAGGGTATGCAATATGGTTCTATTCTCAGACAATGACTCACCAAGCCACAGCCACCAAATTCACAACGCGGCAATGTTCGACTACTGTGACGAGGGCAAGCTATGGAACCCAGCTCAATCAGCCTACTACTATCGCTTCAATCCCGATTCCTTCACCATCACTCCGATTATTTCGCCCTTTGAACCCTCTTCGACTGAGCCCTCCCAGAACTACACTTCGTGGTTTGACTTCACTGGCCACTGGGGTGACATCAGCTATCCCGACTCTGACCCACGGCAAGAAACGGTACCGCACTTTGGTCTCAAACGCTTCAACTCTGGACCCAACGGTCCTCGCTTCAAGCATTTAATTCGCAAGGGTCTTGTTCGTGATCATGCGAGAAAGATGGGCTGGAAAGAGTGGGCAGTTGGTGTTTTTATGTACTGGTATCCGTGCTGTATACGAGGCTGGAGATTATGGAGGTCTCTCGGGATCATGGCCGTGATGATGTCGGCGTTTATCCTTGCCGTTGTGTACGGCATTAGAAGGTTGAAGACGTGGAGGCAGAGGCAGGTTTACACGAAACTGAAGAATGATGATATTCAGATGGAAGAGTTGAGGAGGGAGGAGGAGTTCTTGATAGGATCTGACGATGAGGAGGATGATCATCGACGATAGACGGGATGACTTTATCTTTACTGTTCAAATAGACGTAGAATTAGACAAGCAACAAAACTTACAATCATCCATCCCCTTGACTCCCCTGTAACTGAGAACTTAATGTTTCTTAATATTGGAGGCTAACCTTGCAACAAAGCCCTTGGGATGTCAACGGCGAGCCATGTGCCTAGTCCGGCATATGCTATTTATTCCACCCACCCTCAGTCTCGAAGATTTGACCAACAGCCTGGCTCACCTTGAGGAGGTGACGATCACGAAGTCTCGCAGACACAAGAGAAACACCAACAGGCAAGTTACTCTTCCCACAAAAACCTGGGATATTGACCACTGGCGTATGTAACGCCTACCAAAGGTTAGCAAAATCCAAAGTCTAGCATAGATCCACTCACCGTCCAAGTCGCGGCAAAAATAGGGCTTCCTGTGTTCCCAAGGCCTTCGGGAGCTTCGTCAAAGACACTCGGAACCAGCACAGCGACATAGTCATCTGCCAGCTCATCGAACCGCGGTCGTAGAGCTGCAAGCCCGTCATAAGCATCGAGTTGGGCCTTTCGTGAGATTTTGTGCTTCTCTTGAACACCTTTCGCCAAGACTGGATCAAGCTTATCTTTGTCTTGGTAATACTCTGGCCATAGACTTGTTGCACCCTCGAGGCGTACAAGGGTCAAGTGCCAGTCAATGACCTGGTCGAAGTCTGGGCCAAGATCAAGCTCTTCAACTTCGGCGCCATGTGCTTTGAGAAGCTCTACAGCTTTATCCATAGCAGCGATCGTGCCGTCTCCAGCTAAGTCCCACTTCGATGTCCTACATACAGCAAATTTCGAGCCTTTGATATCTTTAAACGTGCTTTTCTCATCATCGTGCAGAGCAAACACGTCAGCTAGGATCCCAAAGTCGGAAACGCTGCGGGAAAAGAAGCCAATCGTGTCAACAGTCGGGGCACAGAACTTCTGTCCTTCTCTTGTGATAGCTCCCCATGTAGGCTTGAAGCCGTAGATGCCGTTGAATGCAGCTGGTCGAACAATGGAACCTACGGTCTGTGAACCAAGAGCGACGGGGATCTGAAAGTCTGCTACTGCGGCGGCTGAACCAGCTGAGGAGCCTCCTGGCGTATGGGAGGTACTATGTGCATTGCGAGTAGCTGGACCGGTGAAGGATGCGGCGAACTCAGTTGTTGTAGTTTTACCTGGAAACTATGAGAAGTCGGCGTTCAGAAGGGCTGACTTAACTTACCGAAGATGAGACATCCTGCTTGACGGAGAATCATGACCGACCCAGCGTCGATTACGGGGTGATCGTTCTTATAGATGGTTGAACCATGTTCAGTCGGCATATCTGCTAAGTTGTCAGCGACTGGTTCCGTCTCTGATAGCATGCTTTTGAACGTCAACCTTTGGTCAATATGATGTCCTTGATCCCAACAGGAAGGCCATGCAATGGTCCTCGCTGATCCTTTGGAACTTGATCTAATTTTCTGGCCTGCTCCAAAACAGCCTTTGGGCCAAGATACGCCCAAGCTTTGACATCATCATCTCTTTGCTTGATCCGCTCAAGTAGCGATGAAGCATACTGCTCAGCTGTGAGATTACCGGAGCGGATGTTCTCCAGGATTTGTGTCGCTGTGTGGTGCCACGGTTCCATGTTTAGGGGTTTCTATTGATATTGATTGGTAACGGGTATTGGTGAGAACCTGGTTGAGCTCTTGTCCTTGATGTAGCTCGTGGCTTGAAGTTCCCCGCTCGCCGACAGTGATGTAGATCCACTGAGATGAGGGGGTTCGGATCCTGGCCCGACATCTTTGATCAGGAACTTATTTCACCGGACAATGCCTCCGCGACGAGCCTCTCTTAGAAATCGCACAGATCAAACTTGACTACATTGATTCTCGTATATAGGCGCGTTCGGTTGCTCATGGATCGCTACACCAACCGCCATCAACAACATACGAACTGCCCGTCACTGCACTAGCTTCATCACTACCCAAGAACACAATCACCTTAGCTACTTCCTCCGGCTCTAGATCTCGCTGCAAACTCTGGCCGCGCATAACTTCCTCGCGATACTCGGGCGTGAGAACCTCATCCCTCTGTCGCTGCGTCGCGATGGCACCAGGCATAACACTGTTGATGCGAATGTTGTACTTGCCATATTCTTTACTCTGAGTACGCGTAAGACCCATGATTCCCGCCTTGCATGCGCCGTAGACTTTGGCGTGTTAGCAGACTGAATTGTCAGACAGGAATGTTAACGTACCCGGTGTTCCTTGAGCGGGGATTCGCCAGGTGATTGACCCAAGATTGATGATGCTCCCACTCTGCGCCTCTCTCATCGCCGGAAGAACAGCTTGGCTCATGAAGAAAACATGTCGGAGATTGGTGTTGATGTTTACTTCCCAATCTTCAGGTCTGACATTTTCTGTCTCAAGCCTGGCTCTGTTTCCAGCAGCCGCAGCGTTGTTGACCAAGATATGTATCATCCCATGTTTATCTTGGATTCTCTTGACCGTGTATTGCAGCATTGGTAAATGTGAAACGCTGCAATCGTAGAAGATCGGTGCTTTGGCTTGCACATTGGCGTCTTTGGCGCGCGATACAGCACGGTCAATTGTCTTTTTCGCTGAGTCCTCAGCGATGTCGATGAAGATGACCTGGCTGCCCTGTAGCGTGAACAGCTCCACTGTAGCAGCGCCAATGCCTTCTGCGCCGCCTGTAATGAGCACGGTCTTATCCCGTAGACTGGGGTAAGTCGCGTGAGTTGCCATGACTGCAAGGAGATGTCGATATAAAGCTGGAATTGAGTATTTAATGGAAGATATCGTGATAAGAATGTCTTGCCTGACCCCTCACTGATACCTTACAGATGCAAGCCACTTTCAAGTGATGTAATGCGCAGAGACAACGTTACAATGGTTCGTGAGACTCCATTGGTGTATGAGCGGAATTACTGCAAGGAGTCTAGGCTCTCCAGTACATATCATCCATCAATCATCTCTTACAATAAGGTAGGCCGCTCAACTGGATGATAACAGTATTCAACCATGGTTCTGCCAAAAAGATATACGGGAAATAGCCTGAATATAACATAACCTAGCATCCATTCCCGACCTGCCCTTCAGACTCATTCTACTCCGACCCGATAAGGTCCGGCGGGGTAAGATTGATGACTGCTAGCTTCCGCTCACGTGCCTCTGAATGACCAATTCAACTTCCGGGTTCCGTCCCCATCTTCATGTCCGAATCTGCTGATCGCAACAACTCGGATGAGTTTTATCAACCGTCCCGGCCTTTGAACGGCTGTTTCATCAAAATGGAGCCCCGGAGCAAGCAGGCTTGTGAACCATGCCGGTAAGATACCGTGGTCATGAATATCGGATCCAATTGGGTTGACTTTGTATAGGAAGAAGAAGAGCAAATGCACGGGTGAAAGGCCGACATGCTCTTTCTGTGGACGGCTTAATCAAGTATGCACTTACCGGTCTCCGGAACCAATAAGAACTACTGCACGAAAAAGTAATAGAGTCACCAAAAGGTAGGGCTAACCATACCAGTCAATGAGAGGAAGCTAACACGAAAAGTGCCCAAAGAGATGACTTACAGGAACGATTCCAGATGCTGGAATCACAGGTGAAGGGCATTTATGAGTTACTTCAGTAAGTTGACAAACAGTCATATTTACGGAGTGGTGGCTCATTCTCTGCTCATTCTCTAGACCATCGTCAGCCTCAGCGACTGGCCCCGGACCCTCTCCAAGTACTTCTGCAAGTATCCCATCTACAAGTTTGCAAGCAGAGTACAGCGCAAGTCCTGGCATGACCTCGCCCCCATCTATAGATGCATCCTTTGATGTGAACAAGTATGTCGCCTTCCTCTCCCGAAGATTGTTGTTACTGAACTTTCTAGTCCAGATGTGCCGCCAGAGGTTTTGGACCATCTTATAGAGATCTATCGTGTCAAACTACACCTCCAGCCTTTACAACTTTTCAACATATCTCAACTCCGGGACACTCTCACTTCGGCACCTCAATATCTTCTCTGCAGTTTCTTGGCGCTCACTGTGCGGTATAGTGCGCATGACTTTTTCAATGGAAAACAATCCAAGGCGGTTGAGTGGTTTGGTAGCTCTGCACAGCAAGAGGTCGCCATCCTTGCCTCTCAGGGCATTCCCAAGCTTGAGATTGTGCAAGCCTTATGCTTACTTATCCTAGTTGACGTCGCTGGTAAGTCAATTCCGTGTTCTTCTCATGGGCGGTAAACTGACGCAGGCGAACAAGCTTGTAAGCCAGGCCGAGCATGGATGAGCATCGGAACCATGTCGCGACTCGAGGCTCTCCGAAAGCTATCCCAAAGTTCTTTCTATGAATCACCACCCGGCCTTGAAGACAGCCTCAGATGCCACTGGACCGTTGCTCTCCTAGAGCAAACATTCATGCCTCAAGAGCGTAGCAGTATATACGACAATGACGAACACAGATACCCAGCTAGTGCTCATAGGCCACCGTCACTTCCGCCAACGAATGATGGCGAGTGCCCTCCAGATCTCTTCTCAGACGATGCGCCCGAGGATCTGGGAGTGACCGCATATTATATCAACGTTATCGAGATGTGGGGTCACCTCTCATCATATATGCACCAAGTCAGAATCGGAAAAGCAGAGACAGCATGGTTACCGGGTTCAATGCATTACATCCTCTGTGCAGAGCTTTACAAACATGAAAACAAGCTTCCCCATAGTCATCTGCTAAGAAACGTCCATTTCACCAAGAGAATGGCCGCAGAGCTTCAAGATCAGCGCGAGTACTGGATACCGTGGCTTCTCATGCAAGTCGTTACTCACGCCATCACTGCGATCCTACATCATCCTTTCATCCATCTGGTAGCTATGCGAGATAGATCGAGTGGACTTCAGGCCCGTTCCTTTTTACAGCAGACTGTTGATCAGGCTCTATTTAACTCAGCATGGGTGTTCAAACTCTTACGCCGATGCGAGGAGCTGCGCTTCGAGATATGTGACCCTTTAGTAGGGCAGCTTGTAGCAGTAGTCGCAACGATACCTTGGCTATTCCAACGTGCGATTGATCCGAAAGTCGCCGGAAAGGCAAAGGGCGATCTAGAGTGGTGCAAAGGGTTTTTGGAGAGACTATCATCGACATGGCCGCACATTGCGCAAAAGGTGCGTATCTCGTAGCTACTCAGGCCGGGCGCTAACAGGTTTTCAGCTCGAATTACTACAGACCTTGGACTCTACCGCAGACAATAGCTCACAGCCACCTGCTGGGAGAGGCATCTCTATTGTTTTTCATCCTGCTCTGTTTTGGGCTCTGGTAGATCCCAAGATCAGCCAGATGACACCGCTGTGCGGAGACAGTTCAAGTCGTCCTCAAGATGCCATGATTCGCATCTCAACGCATTACATTCATCCTTTGACTGAGATACAGGTGAGCCAGTCGGCGCCAAGTCAAAGAGAGGAATCCTTTGATCCCTTCATGTTTGACGTTGGGGAACTTGAGGAAGTGAATTTGAACGATATCTTTTCACAATTTATGCCAGACACATATGATATACAGTAACATCAGTTGCTTTCCCAATCTCCATCCAGCACTCCTACTTTGATTGGGTAATTTCAATCACATATATCTGTGTCTTGCAATCTTTCTCCGAGGGTCAATTCCGACACGCTTGCAGATATCATCATCTTCTCTTAATCGAGCATTCTAAAGGAGTAAAAGGGCCAAACATGGATATTGGATATTTTTGGAGAAGCTAAGGCAAAGGATGAATCGGCGGGAGGTCATCCGTAGATTAGAATATGATCTATTATGCTTTCTCAATTATTTACTAGATAATAAGCCATCAATTGATGGGCCGCGAGTTGGATTCTCTGCTGAGGATCCGCTCACGTGCACGGCACATCGACACTGTAGATAGGGTCACACATGAGTTCACATCCGTCCCCACCGGATACCCGGATACAATATATCAGACGTCAGTTTTCTACCAGACTCTCAATCTGACCTACCAAATAGCATCTTCTCCCTCCATCATATCATCATGAATCAGTCCAGCAAGATCGTAATCATTGGCGCGGGCCTTTTTGGCCTCACTACAGCCAAGCAGCTCGCGCTAGAAGGTCACCAGAACATTACTGTCATTGACAGGCACATGCCGCCTGTAAGAACCCCAGCTTCAGTGACGTGCATCCGCTAACCTCTTCAGGTGCCGGATGGTTCCAGCTCGGACATCTCCCGCGTCATCCGATTTGACTATGCCGACACCGATTACTGCTCCCTTGCGTATGAAGCTTATCGCAAATGGTCTCAAGACCCTAAGTATAAGGGTATCTTCTACCAGGCAGACTATGTCATTGCTGGTTCAAGGAGTACGCCTGAGAAGTCTTGGACAGACAAGACAATTGCACAGCTTGATAAGCGACAGCTGCCTTATACCAGATTGGCAGATGCTGCTGATACCAAACGGAGATTCCCGATTTTGACTGGCGAGCTTGCCCAACCTAACTTTGAGGGATACGTGAACAAATCTGGCGGCTGGGCCGATGCGAACAAGGCCATCAAGCAACTCCGTGATGAATGTCTCGAGCTAGGCATCTCCTTCATCGCTGGTCGAGCTGGAACCGTCGTCGGCTTTGACAGCGATGCTCAAAGTGTAATCAAAGCAGTCAAGACCCTCGAGGGAACTCCTGTTCGAGGCGATCACTTCATTCTTGCAGCAGGTGCTTGGTCTTCGGGTATCGTCCCTACTTACAACTCAACACTATCAACAGCACAAGCACTCGGCTTCCTTCGCCTCACAGACGATGAGATGATCAAGTACAAGAATATTCCTATTTACATGAACTACGCCACCGGTTGGTTCAACTTTCCTCCCCACGAAGATACCAAGATGCTCAAGTTTGCTGTTCATGGCTGGGGCTATACTCGAGCGCCTTCAAAGGGCGACAATAACTCTGTCAAGTCCAACATCTCCGTTCCTCCTCCTGTTTCTCGGGAGCGAAAGAACTTTGTTCCAGCTGATGCTGAGGAACGTCTTCGAGCAGGCTTGCGCGAGATGTTGCCGGAGTTAGCTGATCGTGCGTTGGAGAGAGTAGCATTGTGCTGGTACACAGATACACCTACTGGTGACTTCATCATGGACTATCATCCTGATTATAAGAACCTCTTTGTTGGCGGAGGCGGAAGTGGACAGTAAGTGAGAGCAGCCCTCGTTATCGACACCTAGCTAACATCTCTCAGCGCGTTCAAGTTCCTCCCAGTCTTGGGCGAATGTATGGCATCAGCTTGGAAGAAGAAGCTGCCCAGTCACTTAGCAGAGAAGTGGAAGTTCCATACTGAATATGAGCATCGTAAGGATACCTTCCTTGGTGATGGCAGTCGAGGTGGTCCAGAAAGACGAGAGCTGAGTGCAGCCGAGAAAGCGAAGTTGGACGGAGGAGAGAGATCCAAGCTGTAATTAGCTATAACGTATCAGTCTTTCATAGAGTACATATCATTTCGTATCAGCAATAAACTTCATAAGATACATCCCAAGGCGACTGGTTACACATATCAAGTGAATTGGCAATCAACTGGACCTTTTGGTACAGCATAACGAAACCGTCAATGCTCTCTGGTCCCTCCATACATAATAAGCTACAGTAGCTACGGGCATGGGCCAAGGCCTAACATACGTCAGTCTAACTTAGGTCAAACTTTATTTACTCATGCCCGGTCAAATGCAGATGCACCAACACTGTAACCCCCGATATTGT